AAATAATTGTTTAATTTTTTAGATTTTATTTTCACCATGCACTTTAATCTAAATTGGGCTCCCTGTGGATGGATAAAAGAACATTTTAATGRATGCGTGGAAGGACAGATGAAATGGTAGGTGGATAAATGGATGCATGGATAGATGTGAGAATGACTGGACATACAAATGGATGAATGGATGGAAGAGAATGGACAGATCAAAAGAAGGACAGATTTAGACAAAGCCAAGGATAGAAGAAAGAGTGCTAGATGAATGGATAGAAAGAATAATAAATGAACAGTGAAGATACATGGATAAGGGATAGACAGACTAATGGATACAAGGAAGAGTGTTGAATGAATGGGTGGAAAGAAGGATGAATGAGCAGACACATGAATAGATGGGTGGATGGGTAGGTAGGTGGTTACATAGACTGATGATTCTTAAAACTCCAGTGTATGCAGGCTTGGCTTCACTTCTGAGGTCGGTAAACAAAAGCAGAAATTAGAATAATAAAACAAGCAACTCCTGGATTCGAGGCTAAACCCGCATACACTGGAGTTTTAAGAGTCGTCAATTGGATGATGGATAAATAGATGGATAAATGGGTAAATGGATGGACTAATGAAATAATCAATGGATAGGCAACTAGAGAGATYATGAGCAGCAGACTTGCTATACTATGCAATAGTCCCCTTCACAGTTCCCTGCGCCATCTTGAAAGGTAGCCATGCCTTTGCGTCAAAGCGAGACAAACGGTGAGCTTGCAATGATAGAGACCTTTTWTTAACACCTTGGACAATTATTCACATGTCTCTATCATTGCAAGCTCACCATTCATCTCGCTTCGATTCAAAGGCACRGCTATCTTTCAAGATGGCACAGGGAACTGTGAAGGGGACTATTATAGTGTATTAACTGCTTCACACTTACCCTTACCAACCACAAAAGTAGTCCCACTATTTTTCCTTTTTCCACTTCCTGTTTCCTCCCTACTTATTTTCTTGACTGGTGCCTGTTTCTGATCTCTTGKTGAAGCTTTCCCCTTTAAATCCTGCTTCGTGGTTTTAGAAGTTGGCCTGTCTTGCCTGGGTGTTTTGGCCTCTCTTCTCTCTTCTGGGGGTGTGGCACTCTTATTTGGCGGCATGGGTGGGCCAGTAGATACAAGTGTCCGACGTACCCCATTGATCTTGGGTCCTCGTCGTGGAGGGGCGTCGTTCACCATGCCTAGTGCTTGGTTTTCCTGGTTCTAACATTTAGGAATGCAAACTGACTTGTAAAAATATTCAATGATTTTTTTTTATTTGGTATTTTTTTGCTTACATCAAAAGTGATATGTGGTATTATTAACATAATAATAATAATGGGATTAACAGTGGATTCCACATGGCTCTTCTTCCACTGAATTCCAATTGGAATTTAGAAGTTGATTTTTGTGGAGGGAGGAAAACCCAGAGAACCTGGAAAACCCTCGAAGCACAGGAGAGCACCAACAAACAACTCCACTCACATGCAACACTGAGCTCGATGGGACTCAACTTGGAATACAAAATGGCAAAATCAAAGCAACACAAAAAATCCTTGGCATAATGCAATAAATTCAAACAATAAATTCAAACTGTTTTCTTCTGCTCCTCCCAGTTAATTTTTTTTAAATAGTGATKTAAAGTATAAAATTCTCATTCTGGGAAATAAAAAAAACCTTGAAACCTTGAAAACCATAAATTAGTCCCTATTAAAATGATCTGTTTTTTTAAAGATTTTTTCTCCTAGATTTTGAGTGAATTGTAAATACTGCATTTTCTATGGCAAGGTATCTTGTACCTTGTACCATAACTWATGAACCATGAAGGCTGACTAGAGTCTAACAGGTACCGGTCACAGCTCCATGCCAGCAGACCATAAAGTCATAACATCAACTAAAAATAGACTATATAAAACTATAGGATGGGAATTATTAAAAAACATTCAAAATTATAAAAACAAGGAAGGAAAAAAACCCATATGATGCAGAGCAAATTTAAGAGGAGTTCAAGTTAAAAAATATTCAAGTGGACTTTTTTTGAGAGATGTTTACTTGTACATGTAAGAAATTTTGCCTTGGAAATAATGTTGGGATTAAGATGTAAAATGAATACAATGGAATTGCAAACATGACACTTAGGACATGTGAAGTTAAGACAAAAATAATCAAATCCCTAACCATTTCTTCAAGCTCCGCTTATTGCATTAAAATGAGCCTTTAAGCTAATTTCATGCTATTTTTGTTTAAAGTGTCAGATTCACCAACCATTTAGATTCTGAACCAGCGTGACAAAAGGTTTTGTTTCAATAGTGCTTTTGGCATGGTTTTGCAGACATGAATGGATCTAAAGGGATTACTTACTTTAAGGTCATGAACTGGCATCTTGGAAGGAATCAAAGATTGTTTTGGAGTTATCGGAACTAAAACACTTTGCATAGGGCTGACCRAGGAAACGTAGTTTCTCAACACAACTGACTGAGGTAATGATGTCATGTTGAAGAGTCAATCAAAACAACAGGTGGACAAGTTGTAAAGTAGTGTGACATCATTGTCACTTCAAATCAACCATACAAATCAAACTTTCTGGGATCTTACATGCTAATTCATGAAAAGATGTTTCAGACATTGAAGTCATTGACGCAATGATGTGAACATCAAAAATTATCCATGGTTTGTTAAACATYGTAAAAATGAACTGAAAACTACCCAATAAGCTAGCATTGATAACCAATTTTCCATTAATTTGTTTGGATCACTGGATATTTGCAAATATTGACCATCACTAAAATAAGACCTCGGATCAACATACAAAAAAAAAAAATTATTTATGACAAAATTAAGATATTTCTGATAAAATGACATTCATATCCTGATTTAAATAATCCTGAGTTATTTATTGATGTTTGGGTAAAAAGAGTAATGGGATAACTGTGTTAGCACTTATATTACACAGGAAACCCAAYATAGAATTTATGACATTTTTTTGTGTGAAATAGACGGTAATAGAAACAGCCATGGAGTGTTGCAATACGTGCATTAAAAAGATATAGCATATGCACAGAAACTGGGCTCAAAAATTTCTGTACTCGGTGATACCATTTTGAATTTCTGTTTTTTTCAAATATACCATGATATTTTAAATTCTTATTCTTTCCTCAAATTTTCTGGAGTGAATTTCAATCTATGTCTGCTTGTAAAAGATTCTATTTTTTGCATATTTGTGAACTACATTRCTGTATGCCGAAAAACAAAGTGAACCAGCTTCAACATTGACTGGCATTATCAAAAATAAAACAATTTATTACAAACCTCATATTGAAGGAATTTTTCATCATCATCGTTATCGTTAGGTAARACGCTACTCATGTCTTCTTTGCCATCAATGACGGAATGGCCATTGTTATCTGATGTTGTTTGGTTGGGTTGAACATAGACTGGTGAGGCTGGAGGTCCTGGAGTATTGGACATYCTGTCTCTGCAAGATTTTGGAGTGCTGAAATGATATATAAAAATATATAAATGTATTTGTTAACAGACTCTATACCTCTATCCAGGCTAGTTTAAGATAGGTAAACAATGCACCCTTTATCCCTGTCTATATAACTTTTTTCTTTTACGTTTTAACACAATACCATAAGAATTTACAGTATAGATTCAGGATGATATTTAACCAAGAAAGGCAAAGCAGTAAATGATGAGGAACACTTTATCTCAGTTTAAAATATCAAGGTTAAAAGTTTCATCATCAACTTGTATAAAAACAGAAAGCACTTCTCTAAGCACAGGCCCAAAAGCCTTACGTCAACTGTCTACATAATTTGACACTAAATTCTGTTACTATTATATACTGTAGCTCTGTAATCCTTTTGCCTAATGATTACATACTTTTTGTTATACCTAAAGCTGTCAGTGGGTACTGGGTCTTGGATGCACTTAATTAATTCTGGAGCTCTAAACCACTTGAAGAGTGCTAAAGAGGGCTAAACCACTGGATTGCTCTCTAATGCAGGGCTAAAAARATGGCTGCTCAATGGCCAGGCATCCTGACTGGCCATACCGGACTGACCAACCAAGACCAGTCAATGTGGCTGCAATCAGGAATGGCCAAAGAGGCATTAGACCCGACAAATGCCAATAAGATTCTTGTTAAAGCCTTTTATTGCAAAGTTAAACGATAAAAGTACACTGCGCTTGTAGCTTTGAAACATCATCTTATTTCATACCTTAACTTTGYAATAAAATCCTCTATTGACTGGCTATTATTTTGAGTCCTACTGTATATTAATGTACAACCTCAAACATGTAATCTATTCGGAATGTGTCTTCATGACTAACCTTGTATTCATGACTCCAGATCCATCCTTCAATGCTATRCAGTGTCCAGGAGGTAAAATGTTTGCTTTAGGGGTTTTCGGAAACTGACTAACCACTTCTCGTTCATCCATATGAGGGCTTTCACCTTTTTTCACCTCCTCGGCATATTTTTGCTCACTCAYATTAATTCTCTCATCTTTTGGCTCTAAATGAGTAGGTGCCTCATAGTTAATTGTATCAAAACTTAAAGGTTCTGGCTTAAGTTTCTTTTTTGTTAACGGCGTCGAAGTAACAGCATAGTGTGATGGTGCCTCTATGTCATCATTGTCTTTGAAACTAGGTGATACTTCTTTTCCAACTGGTGATTCTCGGCACATTCTTTTGTGGGAATGTGAAATACTTTCATTATTAGGACTGTTTGATGTTGTATTTTGGGTTGACTTCATTCCATTCTTAGCTTCGTAATTCCTTGGAGATTCACTGTCACCATCACTGTCACCTACATTATTCATTTTTCTACCATTGCTTATCCCATTCTGCCATCGGAGCTCTTCGTTACCAGCCATTCCATTTCTTACACTCCCATTTTCCATTCCCTTTAACGCTGAAGGGGAATTTTTGTCATTCATAAGCTTTTGTCTCAATTGCATTTGTCTTTGTTCATGCTCTTCTAACCTTTTCAAAACRCTATTCTCTTGGTTAGTTTTTAAACGATCAATTGAATCTTGGCTGTCTCTGACTCCTTGTACAGACTCAACCACATTTGGYTGCACATTATTTTTGGTAACTATCRTAGGCGATGTATCAGAGAAATCTTTACGAAGGATGTCACCACTGACATTATAATTGCTGGGCTTTGAAGTGTCTTTTTTCGGGGTGCCGATTTGGGTGTATTGGCCATTTCCATTTGATTTAGAATTAACAGGTTGGAAATTCACATTTGGACTCTCGCCTCTATATTGAAAGTTACTATATGAACTTGATACTTTGTTGACACTAGCCAAGGCACTTTGAGATCGTTCATTGAATTCTGCTTCCTTTAAAGATRTAGTCTTATTCTGTACTGTGCTCGTAAGACGAGGAGCACTGTCGGCAGTTGATGGTCTTTCTGAAAGAGACAAACTTTTAGAAAGATTTTCAGCTTCATGTTGAAGTCTTTTGTTTGATAGACGGAATCTTTTTGAGTGTTCRGCTTTCTTAAAGTCAACATCCAATGACAGTGGTTCAAAAGGAGCAAGAAAGCTTTCTTGTGGTAGACTTCTTAACCACGACAAAAAATTTCCAGTACTTTCGTGTGAAGTGCCACCCAAAACATCCTTCGCCACTTCTAGGATGTTGTCATCTGCCTCGCCATTGATTGCACGTTGATGACAAAAATCTACACAGCCCTCAAAGCACAACCCCTTGACAATCAAAGTAACAAGTCTATCCTTTGCAGGATGTTTTGGGGTCTTATTGCTACCACTGCGCTTCTCAACAGGCATGACATTCTTTAACAGCTCTAAAATCTCCCTGAAACATTTAATACGTGCAGTTTCTGGATTCCAATCTTTGTATTCAGGCTGTTCTTGAAGATCTGGTACTGTCAAAAGCCAGCATAATTTTGTGTAGTCACTCTTAAAAGGGCAATCTTGTTCAAGCTGATTCAAGCACTTGACAAGGTCTTCAATGGAATAGCTTGAAGAAACCCCTTCAATTCCAGATTTAAAATACAAAACTTCCATGAATTTTTCCTTCAGTACCAGATAACGAAATTTCCTAATATCAAACTCTTCAATCTTCTCCAAGGGTTTTGCAAAAGTCAAAATTGCATCCCATTCACCGTCCAAAATGAGTTGACGAAGGAACACCACGTCTTCAGTAAAGCTACAATTTGTAACTCCACTTTCTCTCTCCAAGTTCCTCATCGACTTGTGAAGCCTCCGAGAGTTYAAAAACTGGAGGATAAGCCTTATGACCTCGTTTTCTTCAAGATAAACTGAAGTATTCGTCATCTTTATGGGGTTTCTTATCGATAAAGTTGGTTACCAAGTTGGTATTTTTAAAACCACCATTTTGAATTTCTGTAACCAAGATTAACCGCAGAATATTTACCGCCTTGAAACCTTTCAAACGGCCTTACACTGTTRACACTATGGCACTGGGTCTCTCATTATGTAAATTCTGGGCTCTTTTCTGTTACAAGTTAAATAAAAAAGGACTTTTTWACGGACAAACAAAGCCTTACTTCGTAAATAATGTATTGGTGATCGCGCCAAAAATCGGATGATGCGCATGCGTTTGACCTTAGATACCACAGGAAGCCCGGCAAAACAATAACAAACTTCTATAAAGCGAGGGCACACAAAGGATATTTTTCGCACGTTTTTCCTCTTTTGTTTTCGATGTCACGTGATTGATAGTAAGCAATGGAGTAAGCAATGGAGTAAGGTCAGAGGGACGTGTAAGGAAGGTCTAGGGGATCCCTAGGGACACAAGGATGGAAAGACAACTATTCTAAGGACAATGAATAATAATTTTATTCTAAAAAGAACAGATCTGATCAAGAAATGTTTCAGTCCATGGTAAGAAGCTATTTAACAAAGACATTTACAGGTGAAAGTGAGAATGAAGTTGAAAGTTGCAACTTTCCAGAAGCTGTCAATTATCAAAATTAACTTATGAAAATTTCAACATTTTTAGAATAGGTAGTATCACACATCTCTTTTACGGTCATTTTAGTGTTAGTTTATGTCTAATTTAACCAAAAAAATCTCACCTTCCCCAAATTTGCTTGAGCCATTGAAGCYATTGTTTCATGGCACTCAAGCAAATTTGGGAAAGTTTTTTTTAAGTGGACAAAGTTAATCTTCAAAATAGTATTCATCAATGAGCTAAAATTTATATCGCACTGCACTGTCAGTTGCAGTAAAGAAGAGGTTTTTCTATTGGGTGTTCTTCCATTTCAGACCTTGTGTCAATCCCTTGATCTTTGTTTAGTGTTAATTCCTGAGAAGACATATGAATATGAATGTAACAAAAATCATAGTCCAAAGGGCATAAAGGGATGATCATCATTGTATATTAAAAATCTTGTGTTCCGATTGGCTGCACTACTGTAGACCTTGATCACRAGGCGGCCATGTTAATTCCCATGAGAATAAAAACCTGTTTAAAGTGCACCTAGCCCCTGATACAATRCTTTCCGTATTGAAACTGTTTGTATGAACCAGTCAAAATTTGTATATTTAATGAAGCCTGGGGCGACGTCACAGTCAGTAACATATTGGAATATAAACCTTAATAACTTAAAGACGCAACATTCAAAAGAAATATTTCACCATTCAACCATTTACTTTATGTAGAATCAATACTGAAACTATTGTATCAGGAGTTAGGTGCACTTTAATCATACATAAACTCATCCTAAAGCACTTGAAGATGAGGCCAAGCAGGGCAAATCTATTGTTCCAGTGGCCATGAGAGAAAAGTTTTTTCTTTAATTTCTTTGATAACCCAGTTGAACAAAGCAGTAATTAAAAAATATGGGATTTGTCTTATTTTTGTCAAAATTTTCAAGGTTTGATTATTGTCTACCAGAAGACACCTTTACAGCCTTCAAGTCAAAAGGCCCATTCAGCTATAAGGCTCTTATAGGCTTCTGACATATAAGCTATAAGAACTAAAGTAATAATGGTTAAATAGCTATGTCAAGTATCTATAAATCTCCAAATAAGCTTTTTTCTATATGCTATTTGATAAATAAGTRTTATTGATAGTTCAATAGTCTGCGTATGATTTTGACTGGAAAATTGATTAACTTAGTTTAAATAGGATGTTCGCATGATGGTGTCATTTGACTCCCACTATCATAATGCTTTGCAAATTTTCTTTCTCATTTAAATTTGTATTCCCTCATGAGAATAGTAAGACAGTTGCTAATTAACTGAACAAAAGAAAGTGTGCAAGGGAGTCTGGTAGTAGAGGTCAATGATGCTGAACCACGATGCCATCATGAAAAAATCCTAGTATAATGTGATACTCTACAAGGTACTGCAATTTTCAATATCACCTRAAATCTAAAATCCCAGCTAACTAGTAAAATAGACCTTTTTACTTGGGCAAAATTGCCATTGTAGACCATGTTATTTCTTGAAAATAAGATTCTTTGTTTGAGTTGTATCTTTTTATGCACAACTGTTAAACAAAGAAGTGATACTCTAGGCAATGACATTTCACCCATGCTAAAGAGGTCTATTTGGTTTTGCTGCCGTCAAATCTAAATCACTTTTGATTTGCAGCAGGAATAGCCCAATTGCAATGGATAGTTTAATGCATGAGTTTTGAACTGAAAGTTATATTGAAAATTGAAGGGTTCCAATGCTGTTTCTTTTGACTTCAGTTTCAAAATTAATCCGTCTGTAGTCATTTTTGTTTCACATGTATCTTTTTCAATAACTAAAGCATCTTTAAAAATATCAAATATCTTTATAAATATGGAAATAAAATCTAGTCATCTTCATCATCTGAGATTATGATAACAGTATCGATCTGTTTTGGTAAGTTTAACTCGTTGTTTGGAGAAAACTTGGAGGAAACTCTAGACATGCTATCGTTCGGTCCTAGAAATTCTGGAGAAGATGARCTCATTGCCACTGAGGTAGTAGAAAAACTATGTATTTGTGTGATATTGTCAGTGTTAGTCTGTAGAGTAGAGTTGTTCTTTAGATTGTTTGAAGGACAGTTCTTGAGAGATTCTTGCAAACCTGAAGTTCCTTTCTTGGGTGAAAATTCACTAGTTGTTAAAGTTAAAGAAATCTTTGAAACACTTTCTGTTCTTTCCCCTTCACTTTTGTTAGCTTGTTTGACCTCCTCATCATGTTGAGGTGTTTGTTTGTCTAAGATGCCATTCGATGGAGAGCTGTGTGGGTGTTCTTGATTTTGAGTGATGTGACGCACTGATGTAGCTTTTCTCTTGGAATGACAAGAGTCAACTTTCTCGCTACTTTCAGAAAGTGAAGAATTTGTTAAACMTTTGTTTTCTGTGAACTTAGAGAGCTGGTTTTCCTTCAGTTCTTGTATCTTTTCCAGGAGCTTTGTTGAATTGATTGTTCKTTTTTGTTTCCGTAAACTTTTATCATTCCCAGTTTTTTCTTTATCATCATGGCTCTTTTCGCTTATTTCATCATTGTCGATAATTTCTATTACATTGTCATGACAAAAACCATTAAYCTTTACCGGCACAGCTTCAATTTCAGGGTTTGGTGTTGTTATTTGCGTCGAAGGTGCTTCTACTTTTGGTTCCGGTTTCTCTGATCCAGAAGAATTTGGTGTAAATGAAACATCTTTTACCTCATTACTTTCTTTTTCATCCAAAATTGAAATGTCTTGGCTTCCTTCTGGTTCACCATTCTGTTCACTYACATGCTGAGCTGACTCTTCAACTTCTAATGAACAAGGCTCAACAACTTGCAGTACTGATGTAGACATAACAGACGTAGTAATAATTGCACTGGGTATTTCATCATCGACTTTCTCCACTTCTCCATTAACACTAAAAGTTGAGTTCTTTTCAACTTTACTATTTGAAYTCTCAACTTCTACTGAGCCAGATTCAGTACCAGCTGTCGGCATGTCAGTTGCACTAGTGGTAGGTATTAYGCTAATTTCAACTGAGTTCTTTACCTTCCTATTTTCAGAAGCCTTCATTTTCTTGTGCTTCTTTCTTGAACTCTTGTCTTCAGTATCACCCTCTGACAAATGCTCCCGTTCCTTCCTCTTACCTGACKGATGTGATTCCTTGTCGCTTTCAGAGTCAGACTCCGTAGTGGAATAATTAGAATCAGTGCCATGATCCCTTGGACCTTTCACTCGTCCCAAGTGCACATACTTTTCAAAAACACTATCTAATGCATTTTGGTTTACTCTCTTGTTTTCCTCAAGCTTTTGCCGCAGTTCAGAGTTATGTAAAGCAGGATCTAAACTCGGCAAGCAGTCGTCCGTCAAATGACAACCAAAGTTGTACTCGAAATCCTTCTTCCTCTTCTTCTGTAGTTTGTTGCCAATGTGCGTTAAAATATCTGCAGCAATGTCATTCTGCACCCCCAGAGAAATTCCTAAGCCACGCTTTTTATTTACCCTCATTATGATATTCCTAATATCAAAAATATCTGGAAAACCTTTTAGTTTCTTTAAGAACTTTCCAATGGCTTTATCAATGGCTGGAAACCCTGAGGTTTTACACTTTATTGATCCTTCGATGACTCGGCCAGTATTAGTTGGACGTCCTCTTAACTTGCAAAGTTTATTCCATATACTATTAAAGCGATTCTTCAAGCGGCTCTCCATAATATAACTACTGTCCCCATATTCCATTTCATCAAGGCTTAGCTCTGCCTGACTCAACCTTTTGATTTCATCTGAAGTGTACTTCAGTTTAGCTTCTAGTTTAGAAATGAGTTTTTTCCTTTTTATTCTCATTTTTTCCCTTTCCATCCTACTTTTCTCATTTGAACTCGTGGGACTTTGAAAATTTCCAGATGAATTTGAGTGACTAGTATTTTGAGTTTCTTCAACAAATTGTATATCATTATCCACAGATTCATTGGATTGATTTAATAACGTTTCCGTGAGACTGTCCTCTTCGAAATTTTCAAATTTCCCCGCCAAAGTCTCTTGTCTAGACTCTTGTGTTCCCTCACTTTGACTATGACTACCTGAAGAATTGTTGTCATCGATCAATTCGTTTTCCTGTGTCAGCTTTGATCCTTTTTTCCCATACACAGCTGCATTACGAATTATTGCATTAAGGACTTCGTTAAAATGAATGTAAACATCGAATTTATGCACTTGATTAGTCTTCCGTCGAAGCATATCTTTAAATTGCGAGGAGCATTTGAAGTCTGGGCAAAGAGCTTGAAACTTCACTCGAAGAAGCAAAACCTCTTGGCGTTTTAGAAAAGGTTGAACAGCTTTAGTAAACCCTTCGAAAAGCTCCACTGTTGTCTGTTCTTCTTCGTCGTCACTGTCTAGGATCGTAATAGAAGGAATACTCGGGTTTTTTGGCGCCTCTTTCAACCCRTTTTCCGCCATTTTGTTTCTGTATAGTTTCTTCTCATGTCGCGATTTCTTCCAAAACGAAAGGAGGCAAAATACCATATAAGGAATAATTTATGCTAATTATGCAAAGTTTCCAAAATTGTGGATTCTGATTGGCCGATCCGAAATATATGCTAATTTATTACTACGTTCGTACTAATATATGCAAATTAATGGAAATTTATTAATGTCATTTGAAGAAACCGGTTCAAAACCGGTTCAAAACCAGTTAGTCCGGATTTTTTCAATTTTTTTTGTTCAAGATTCAGCTCAGATTTCCGACTTGCGGAAGGTYGCAATTTGATTTATTTAATGATTGCCATGAGATGAGATTTACCCTATTGACTTAATGTTTGATAAGAAATAGAAAGAGACCTTCTAGCGCTTTCTTACCACTAAAAGAGAATATCAAGTAAGCCTTGGCCACTATTATAATAGAAATGTTGAATAWATGTCGTAATAGTCACGGGTGAGTGGGCAATATTGTGGGTTTCCATCCGCCGACACTACTGAAATGGTTCCTTTGATGAAACAATCAAAACTGAAAAGCGTTTAATTTGTTGTTWAACCGCGGAACGACGCAGCGGAACAACCTCAGAAAAAATATCTTAATGTTCCCCTTATGCAAAATAAATAAAGTAAATAATAAAACGAATAAATAAATAAATAAATCCATTTAATATGATTGTTTAAACAATATTGGCYATAGTGAACTTTTATACACTATATTTACGTCACGTATTCAAGGATCTGCTGAAACAAGTTGCTGCAGGCAATGGGCGCGCAGTTTGCCGAATTGGACTGGCCGAGTTCTAGTGCTTATTTTAATTCTTGACAATTAAAACAAATTTAATTTAATTTAATTTGATCTAATTTCTCAACTAAAACAAATTCTGATAAATTCAAAGTATATATAGAAATTGATTTCAATTTGACCGAACTCCTCGGCACAGAAAAAAAAACTCTCTTCGTCGTACTTGGAAAAATAGTCCACGATCATACACAGCTGGGCACGGATTAAATGCGCGCATGCCCGGCCCCGAGTATTTGTAATCGACTGAAAA